GTTTTTGAGAGTGCTTGAACTAGACTGTCAGTGAAAATGTTCTTTGATAATGTAAATGTTCTTTGCTCTCTTTCTGTACAGTAAAAGTGTTATGATTAGTAGCCTATCTTGCAATGTTTTTACTCATATTAACTTTCAATGTTAAATTCACATTAAATATAAAGTCAGTCGTATTAAAAATATGTTATGGCATGACACCCATATCTGTTAATTAAGTAAACAGACAGGTTTTTATGCATAGACTAGGGTGAACTGCCCTAAAGTGGGACACTGCCTAATGTGGGACACTTAAGGTTTCGTGTCTGTAGCTCCCCTATAAATACATGAATGCCAGTGAAACTATGGGTTACCAAAGCTGTGGTGTCATGTGATCAAAATCACATCCTCTCTCAAATGTACAGTCATTAATGAGGGTGGAGGAATCATCAAACTGTGAAGACCACCCAAAGGTCAGTGACAGAGTTTTGACAAACTTGATATTAAGGAGTATAAATTAACTTTAAACAAAACAATCCTGCTACTTTTTGGCCTAATGTGCTTATTAAATGTGTGTCCATCAAAAAATAGTATAACTTTGTATGTATAAACTGTGGTTGTATGTGTTTGTTGGAATAGAGAACAGTCAGGAATTTTCTATCTACATAGCATAACACAGGTCTATGATAATAGTTGCTTAATGTCTTTATGATAAATGCATCAAAACTATCATATTGTATTATTTGATGTTATTATCATCCATATTTTATCCATTCATAACCAAGAGAATTACTAACTTTTAAGATTTGACTATGAAAGGTGATTTTGGCCTTTTATCATAGACTTATCAGTGTCCCACATTAGGAACACAACTGTCTCACATTAGGAAGCTGCAGATTTTCTCAGACGACTTGCACTAAGAGCACTAATATGTCTATCATTTCTTTTATGAATGTGTTATCTGCATTTTCTTTTTTGATTTATTTAGGACACATCCTGGGGTTTTTTAAATGGTATTGGGTGTGGATTTAATGTTTTGGCTACACATCGCAATATGTCACAGAAATCTGAAATGCAAAAAATGTCCCACATTAGAGCAATTCACCCTACATTATTAGATTACCGTATTGACCCGAATATAAGACGATGTTTTTTTCTTGGAAATACATCTGAAAAAATGCGGTCGTCTTATATTCAGGGTCTGAATAATACACCCACAACAGTAGGTGGCGCCAAATACGCATAAAACGAGTGTGCCATGAAATACGTAATGTAATGTGTGTTGTAAAGATCACGAGTAAAGACAAAAGAAAAAGAAAACCTCACAGCTGCATGAGTCGTGACTGTCACGTTAGCCTGATGGGACCAAACTCCCTTTGTGATTTTAAAACGTAAGACAGTACCCAGATTTGAAAACTACAGTAAGATTTAACTTCTACTGTTAATAAGATTTTGGTAGGCTACTATTAGATGGATAGCCTAAATGTCCTAATTCAGATGGGCTACCTGTTTTTTTTTTGTTTTTTTTAATGGTATATCAAAAAGTGTATATTTTTTTAAATGTGATTGTTGGTACATTTTACCAGTTTTTACCATACTTTCAAAACAAAAATTAAAATAGGAAAAATATGCAATATGAAAATAATTGAAGACAAAATGTGTTTTACTGAGAAAAAAAAAGATTTTGTTTTGACCAAAAGGTACATCTGGAAAAAGGGGGGGTCTTCTTATAATCAGGGTCGTCTTTTATTCGGGCCAATACGGTATATATATATTTGTACCTTGTCTAGCCAAGGGCACAAAATGTGCCGCCTCAAGAATAAAAAATACAAATAAAAGATGTCGCTGAACTCAGTCCAAACTCTCTTGGGAATGCATGATAAAGCTTCCGA